GAATCTTGACAAGGGTCTCAACTTGGCTTGGAGAATAAGCTACACTTCTTTTCCAGAGAGCAGGTAGAACTATTTTCTAAAAATTGTAGGGAATGAAATGAAGAAGTCTTCTAGGTTAGGTTACAATACTAACTCTTGGTGAAAAGACAAGAATACCCTTACTAACCCTTAGAAAGTGTAAGGAACAAGGGAACTCCCCTCAAAGCACAAAGTACAACACAACTTAAAGGTTGACTAGTCAAATTCTAGTCCTTGAGTATTAAAAATCAGGATTTTAGGAATTAAATCCTCAAATCAAAATAGGATTAATTACTCAATTAATCCATGGATTGAATGTGGATTTTTGGGGTGTCACATCCTCTCACCCTTCAAAGAAGTTTCGTCCCCGAAGCTTGGGTACGACGAATTAAAAGCGAACGGTAAAAAGGAAACGAAATTGTGACAAGAAGTTCAAGAACAACTCTTTTGGTCAAAGACTCAAAAAGAACTCACAAGGATTCCCAAAGCAAAGAAGAAGGCATTTCAAATTCAAGGATTGGCAAGAGGTCAACAAACGGATAGATTGAGCATCAAGAACTCTAGCCTCAACACAACCACCAACTTCTAGACAACAACCAAGGACTAAACTACTAACTCCAAACACCACTATCAAACTAGCTAAACAACAAGGCAACAAACAGAACAAGCAAGCACACAAAGCACACAACAACCTATCACCAAGCTAACAACGGCTAAGAAAGAAACAAGAAGGAAAAAGCGAACGGGGTTACCGCAACACAAACTAAAACTCCTCGCTCTCCGACTCCTCGGCCTCTTCGGACTCCTCTTCGTTTTGTAACGTATGGGTTACCTTTGTAGCCTAATAACTTCCTCTTTTCACCCTAAAAAAGCCATTCCTAGAGCTCCTCTTCCACACCAACTTCATATAAAAACCAAAACACAACAAAGATCCTATCTTTTAAAAAAAGACACGTAAAAGAAGGTTAAAAAAAACAAAAGACCAAGGATATTACTTTCCCCTATGCTCAAGATGAAGAAAGTCAAAATCTTGGGAGACAATCTTGCAAGACTTGGATGCTCAAATTCTAGCTTGGAGAAGAAGCTAAACCATTTTAGAGAGACGCTAGAGGTTTTAGTGTTTAGATTGAAGGGTGAATGAAATGAAAGAATATTGCTAGGTTAGCTTGAATCACAAACCTTAGGTAGAAAGACATTTCTACCCTTACTAATGTTGGAAAGACAAGGGAACAAGGGCACAACTCAAGAATCACAAGGTACAACCCTTTGACTAAAGTGACTAGTCAAAATCTAGTCCTTCGACTATTAAATTTCAGGATTGTTAGGAATAGATTAGCAAAAATACTTGGATTAATTCTTTAATTAATCCTTAATTAGTGTTTGGATTTACGGGGTGTCACACGGCATCTACTCAAAACCTGTAAAATCAAGGGATAACACCCGGTCAGTGAATAATGCTTGTAACCCATCAATACGCGTTAAATAGCATAATATAGAAAGATATAATCAAACCCATTTGGAACGGAATACAATATATATCACTTCAAAACCAAGGAAGGAAGTCAACATCAAAGACCATCACACTCTCAATAAAAACGAGGATCATCAACCTCACGACAAAGACAAGACCACAACCAATCATAGACAACACAACTCAGGATGCAGCCTACCATTCACAAGGTAGAATACATCAAGACATACTCAGAAGCAAGAAAATCACATCCACATAGTGACAACTACATGTCACAAGTCTCATAGTTCCAACCTTATGCCCTGTTCCAACCTTATAGCTACCCCCGACCTTATCACAGTTCCAACCATTACCTCCTAGTGCCACCCTGTACTTCTGAGTCCAACCTCCCCCTCATTACCAAGAAGACTAAGGCTCAACAATAGCCTCAATCAAGTATCAACAAAGGGTACAACGATTTGCATACGATCACATCATAGGAATTAATCAAGAGATCACAATAAAGACATGAGACCATACTCAACAACAAAGGATTACAATCCAACACCAAATGGTTGCCAACACAAGTTGCCAACCCCAATACGAAGGAACAAACAGCGCATATTAGCATATCACATCAAACTAGCATACTTATCAAACGGGTAAACCAAAATTAGTTCCAAAGAACATTCAAGACTCATATTAGCCCAACGAATCACAAAGTTAGACCCTTAGCACGATTCAAGACACCAAATCCTACATGGATTCCTAACACACCGTTCTAGACATAGAAACATCAAGAAAACTCACAAATAGCCCAATAAATCAACATCGGGAGGTCAAAACATCAATACCGGGAAGAAAGGATCACGGGGAACAAATCCCCGGCCAACATCAACAATGTACCCGCGGGTGGGGCCACGGGTGGGCCTCCACCCGTGGTTCCGCCCGCGTGTACACACCCACGAGGACCACGTACCCCGCAGGTGGGGCAGCGGGTAGGCCTCTACCCGTCGTTCTGCCCACGGGTACAACCTGTACTCCAAATTTCCCTTTGGGGAATCAACAACAAGGCCAAGTTCAAGTCTGATAGGCCTAGAATATGTGCGTATTTTATATATTATTCCATTGTGATTTTAGGTTCATTATTATTAAATTGGATTAATTTTGAGTTAAATCTTATTAATTGTGCACTCTTTGACAGTATGGACTTAATTGAGGGGAATCATGAGTTTTGGGGTCAAATTGCAAGAAAGCTTATTTGATGATATAAAGATGTGTTCAATTGAAAGAAGATTACAAAGTTTAGGGGTGAATATGTGAATCTTAAAAAGCTTTTGGTTAATTCTGGAGGGTTGAAAACTTACAAAAGAAAAGGGAAATTATTTGGTTTTATTGGCGCAACAGAGAAAGGAAAAGAAAGGGGATTATATATATTAAGTTAGGGGTTGCTTTTGTTTTGAAGAAGGAGAGGGACGGCAGAATATTGGGGAATAGGGGAGACGGAGGCGAACAGGAAAACGGCGGAGAGAAGAATCAGAGAGCCTGGGTGCGCGGCAGCGACTTCAGTGAGAAATTTCTGAGCTTCAATCCCAGCTATCATCTCTTAGGCTTGAATTATTTTTCTTCCTTACTTTATTTCTTGTTTAAATTTTCAGAATGATGTTCCCTGAACAATTTATGCATTTAATTATGATTATCGGATAGAATTTTAATTAGGGATTTGGATTAGCCTTGATTAGATTAATTGACTATTTTTCATGTGTTGATTCTTCTAATTTCAATTTAATAATTGAATTTGATTATATTTATTGTATGTATTTTAATTGTGGATTGTGTGACTGGCCATTACATAATTCTAATATTAGGGTTCATAAGAAGAACTGACAGGTGAATTATGAACCTAGAACTCGTAAGATAAACACAATTGACCTAAACTAGACATAGCTTTAGGTATTTGTGGTGATATTTGATTGTTGCTTAATGGGTTTAATTAATGTTGGTGAGATATCGACGGATGATCACAGTTAATTGGATACAACCTAGTAGCTCGACGGAGTATTAGGATATATTTGAAGCAATCATCACTATAGTCTTAAGAATCAATACTTAGGAGAGTTAGTTAATTATCTAATAGGTGAACCCCAAATCCCTAATCTTTTCTCAATTGAATTTCCCTTTGCTTTAAATTCATAAATATTCTTTTAATCACATTAATTCTATTTATTTGCGAATTTCCTTATCAACAATTTGATTATTTAAGATAACAGTTAATAGTGTTCTTCGTGGGATCGACCCTGGAATACTCCAGGAATTTATACTGTGATTGACTCTATGCGCTTGCAGATTATAGCAATCAAGTTTTTGGCGCCGTTGCCGGGGAACACTTTATTAAGTTGTTTTTTTAAGTTTTTCTTTTCTGATTTATTTAGGTTGTTAGGTTTGTTATTATTTTATTCTTATTTTTTTACTAAGTTTTTGTTTTTCCTATTTTTATTTTATTCTGTTTATGAACTTAAGGCGTTCACTAAGGCATAAAAACGCGGAATTATTTCCTATTGATCTTGAAATTGAGCGTACTTGTAGAAAAAACAGGGTACGAAGGCGGCTTGAAATGGCTGAGAACAATAGAGTGGGTCAACTGGATGACCCCATACCACCAATAGTTCCACCTCCTCACAATCAAGCAGCTCAACCACGTCTTCGAGACATCCAAAGACCGGTAATAGCTGTTAATCCCTCTTGTATTCAATTATCTGATGCAGCTAGGAATTATGAACTGAAGACTTTCCATCTGAATATGCTCCCTACCTTTAACGGTTTGGGAAGTGAAGATGCTTTGGGTTTCATGCGAGAGCTCTATAGTACGGTACAAACTTTACCTTTAAATAATTTATCTGAAAAAGAGCTTAGAATGAAATGTTTTCCATATTGCATGAGGGGTGATGCTAGGCAGTGGTTGTTAAATTTCCCAGAGGGTACTTTAAGAACTTGGGATGATGTTTACAATGCTTTCATGTTTAAATATTATTCATCTCAAAAGACAATGGACTATAGGAGTAGGATATGCACTTTCACTCAAAGAGAGGCTGAATTATTTCATGAAGCATGGGATCGTTTTAAATTGCTTTTGAACCAATGTCCACACCATCAATTCCCATTGTTATTGTTGACACAATTCTTTTATGATGGTTTAACTCCTAATTGTCAGTCTCTTGTAGATACTGCTGCAGGTGGATACACAGGTGATAAAAATAGTGATGAATTAGAAGCTATCTATGAGAGATTAGCTACTAATTCTCGACAAAAGGCAGTGAGAGGTCGAAGAGCTGTTGTGCATGAAATTAGCACACAATCTGAGTTGACAACACAAATGGCTGAATTGACTAAACAGATTACCTTGTTGATGACTCGTGATAGTTCGAATAGAGAATTTTGTTCTTATTGCAATACATATGGTCATAATTCTTCTGTTTGTATGAATGCAGAGTCATCACAACCATAAGAGGAAGCTAATTACATGGGATCCAACATGGGTAGGCAACCACCCAGACATGATCCATTTTCTAATACATATAATCCAGGTTGGCGAAATCACCCTAACTTCTCATGGAGAGATCAAGGTAATGCAAGACCAATGGGACCACCCGGATTCCAGCAACAAGGACCATCAGGATTCCAGCAGCAGCAATACAGACCTTTCCAGCAGCCACCTGCACCACAACAGTCTCAACTTCCTGCTCAGGAAAAAAAGCCTCAATTGGAGGAGATGTTTATGCAATACATGGCTAGCCAGGACACGATGATGAAGAAAATGGATGCAAAGATTGATAAGGTTGCACAGTCTAACCAAGCATCCATTCATAATTTAGAAGTGCAAGTTGGTCAGTTGGCAAAATTGGTTGCAGAAAAAGATCGAGGTAAGTTTCCTAGTAACACTGAAATAAACCCTAGGGAAGGAGCTATGGCTGTCACATTAAGAAGTGGTAAGATATTGAATGAAATTATGAAAGAAAATGAACCCACGAGGGTTGAGAAAGAGAGTGATAAAGAAGAGGATCAAGTGCCTAAAGAGAATTCTAGTGATCAAAACCTCAATTCCTCTATAGTAAAACCTTATGTACCCCCCATTCCATATCCACAAACGTTACAAAAGAGGAACCAGGACAATAACTTTAAAAGATTTTTGGAGGTTTTTAAAAAATTGCAGATTAATATTCCATTTGCAGAAGCACTTGCTAATATGCCATCTTATGCCAAGTACATTAAGGAAATTGTGTCTAATAAAAAGAAATTGGAAGAGTTTGCTACTGTGCACCTAAATGAGGAGTGTAGTGCTGTTTTGCAAAGCAAATTACCTCCTAAGCTAATGGATCCAGGAAGTTTTTCTATTCCTTGCACTATTGGTAATACTGTCATTGATAAATGCTTATGTGATCTAGGTGCCAGTATTAACCTTATGCCTTTAACTCTTTTCAATAAGTTGGAAATAGCTTAAATGAAGCCAACAACAATCTCTCTTCAACTTGCTGATAGATCAATCAAGTACCCGCTTGGAGTAGTGGAGGATATCTTGGTAAAAGTTGGTAAATTTTATTTTCCTGCTGATTTTCTGATTCTTGATATGGGTAGTGACACAGATACATCTCTTATACTTGGTAGGCCATTTTTGTTGACAGGAGGAGTATTAATTGATATGCCTTTAGGGAAATTGATTTTTAGAGTAGGTAAAGAAAAAGAGGAATTCTCTATCTCTAAGGCTGTAAAATTACCAACTTTTGATGAATCATGTCATTTTGTTGATGTTATTGAGAAACCTTCAGAAGAAGAATTTGTTAAGCATTCACCTAGTGAAACACCACATCCACTTGAACTTAAACCACCTTCATTGCGGTTCAAATACGAATTTTTGAGTAACAATGATACTTTTCTTATGTTTTCTTATGCTCATTTACTTCATGCAAAAGAAGAGAGATTGTGGAGAACATTGACTAAAGCTTGGCATGACAAAAATAATTTTTGGAGAGAATTCAATGTAGGGCAAGAAGTTTCGTTGTCTAATTCTTGTCTTAAGTTTTTTCTAGAGAAATTGAAGTCTAGATGGTTTGGTCCTTTTATGGTCACTAGAGTTTGTTCGTATGAGGCCATAGAGATTGAAAGAGAGAAAAAGAGACCATTCATGGTTGCTTCACCAAAAGGCAGCCCCGGAAGAAACTGGCAACTAACAGGGAAGTTTCCTGTTTATTTTATTTTCTCATACTTGCTTTTATATTTAACATTGAGGACAATGTTGAGTTTGAGTGTGGGGAAGGGAAAGTAAGATTAGGGGATGCTTTCTGCAAGTTTTATGCAAAATAGGCAATATCAAAAAAAAAATTCTGCATTTTCCTTGCAATTTTCTGCAACATTTTCTGCATTTTCTCTATTTTTCTGCATTTTGCTACAGTAAAATTCTGCATTTTTCTTTCTACATTTTCTGCACTAATTTTCTACATTTTATGGGATTTTCAGCGTCATTTCTTTCATTTTTCTGCAATTTTTCAGCAAAATTAAGTTTAAAAACTGCCATCTAATGACTATGTTTGTTGGGAGATAAGTTCTAGTGTTTTGGGAGTGCATAATATCAATGAATGTGTTTGGCTATATGTATGCTTGCATAGAGTTAGTAGTCAAATTCTGTCACACCGTGAGCTTTTGAGCCTAGAGGTTGCCCACTGCAACTTATTTTCATTTTGAGTGTTTATTTGCCCTCTTTGATGGTGTTACTTCTAGAACTTGCTTCATACCATTTCAGAGCTACATGTTATATGTTGACACGAGAATGATTTAGGCATTAGGATTTAGCCTTATAGCCTTAAAAATGACCACATCCTTATACATGTTATTTTTCCCCTAGTGAACCATTTTGAGCTTTATAATAAATATATAAGACATTTTTCTTCATTAGCCAGTTCCAAAGAACCTTAGCTCATAAAAAGAAGCCTCTTAACCCGTCTTTGGGTCAGTGGATGTCATTATTTCATTTATCTGTGCAAGATGACCAAAAATGATGAAGTATGGGTGAGATTGGAGTTGAAAGGTGATTGTATAGCTGGTTTGCTTGGGTGAGGAATTGTTTGTGATCAAAAGAGATGAAAATGGAAAAAAAGAACAAAATGATATGTTCTAAATTGTGGGTTGAAAATCTTGTTAGCCCAAACTTTTCTGCTCATTTTATTCTTAAAATGATTTGTGAGCAATGAGGGCATGAAAGAAATTTGATGATTATGGGAAGAGTACCATTGAGGGTTGTGTGGAAATGGAAAGCAATTTATTCAGTTAAAAAAAAAAAAAAAAAAAAAAAAAGAGAACAAAATGAGGAAAAAAAAAAAGAGAAAACAAATGAAAAAACTGAAAAAAAAAAAAACAAAAGAAATGAAAAAAAGATGAAAAAGAGATGGAGATTTTGGAAGTTGTTTATTAGTGAAAAGGATGAGGGAGAATGAAGTATAAGTGATGACTTGTTTTAGTAGAGTTCAATGTATTGGTTGAATACGAGTTCTTGCTCTTGATATGGTGAAATTATGGCTCTACTGATTCCTTGGACTTAATTTGTATTTCCTTATATCCTTTTCTTTCTTAAACCACATACCCTTGGCCCCCTTACAACCCATAAATAAATACCTTTTGAGTCGTGTCTTTCATATAATTTTGGTAGTGGAGTTTTGGTGGACAAGCAAGCCTATGGCAAGTGCATTCTCAATAGAGGATGGTGTGTACCTTTCTTATACATATATATATTTGAGAGATTGAGTGAACAACCGTGAGGACTACTATTCTCTATTGTCTTATGTGCATATGACTTTGAACTCTCATAAAGTATTATGTGTTCACCAATTCCCTTGAATTGAATGCCTAGTTGACATGGTTATGGTTGGTAGTTTATTTCATTGCATAAGTTTGCTTGGGGACAAGCAAAACCTTGAGTGTGGGGAAGTTTGATAGGTCTAGAATATGTGCGTATTTTGTATATTATTCCATTGTGATTTTAGGTTCATTATTATTAAATTGGATTAATTTTGAGTTAAATCTTATTAATTGTGCACTCTTTGACAGGTATGGACTTAATTGAGGGGAATCATGAGTTTTGGGGTCAAATTGCAAGAAAGCTTATTTGATGATATAAAGATGTGTTCAATTGAAAGAAGATTACAAAGTTTAGGGGTGAATATGTGAATCTTAAAAAGCTTTTGGTTAATTCTGGAGGGTTGAAAACTTACAAAAGAAAAGGGAAATTATTTGGTTTTATTGGCGCAACAGAGAAAGGAAAAGAAAGGGGATTATATATATTAAGTTAGGGGTTGCTTTTGTTTTGAAGAAGGAGAGGGACGGCAGAATATTGGGGAATAGGGGAGACGGAGGCGAACAGGAAAACGGCGGAGAGAAGAATCAGAGAGCCTGGGTGCGCGGCAGCGACTTCAGTGAGAAATTTCTGAGCTTCAATCCCAGCTATCATCTCTTAGGCTTGAATTATTTTTCTTCCTTACTTTATTTCTTGTTTAAATTTTCAGAATGATGTTCCCTGAACAATTTATGCATTTAATTATGATTATCGGATAGAATTTTAATTAGGGATTTGGATTAGCCTTGATTAGATTAATTGACTATTTTTCATGTGTTGATTCTTCTAATTTCAATTTAATAATTGAATTTGATTATATTTATTGTATGTATTTTAATTGTGGATTGTGTGACTGGCCATTACATAATTCTAATATTAGGGTTCATAAGAAGAACTGACAGGTGAATTATGAACCTAGAACTCGTAAGATAAACACAATTTACCTAAACTAGACATAGCTTTAGGTATTTGTGGTGATATTTGATTGTTGTTTAATGGGTTTAATTAATGTTGGTGAGATATCGACGGATGATCACAGCTAATTGGATACAACCTAGTAGCTCGACGGAGTATTAGGATATATTTGAAGCAATCATCACTATAGTCTTAAGAATCAATACTTAGGAGAGTTAGTTAATTATCTAATAGGTGAACCCTAAATCCCTAATCTTTTCTCAATTGAATTTCCCTTTGCTTTAAATTCATAAATATTCTTTTAATCACATTAATTCTATTTATTTGCGAATTTCCTTATCAACAATTTGATTATTTAAGATAACAGTTAATAGTGTTCTTCGTGGGATCGATCCTGGAATACTCCAGGAATTTATACTGTGATTGACTCTGTGCGCTTGCAGATTATAGCAATCAAGTCCAAAACACCCAAAATCTCACACACAACAATGATATGACTTGAACCCAAGAAATAGCCAAGCAATGACATTCAAGAAACCTAAGAAAAAGCTCTAAACATGCATCACCACAAGATCATGCATCAAATCTCACAAATCATCACAAGAATAACAAGTAGAAGCCAAGAATCATCATATAAGTAAGAAAATAGGTTTTGTATCGCATGGGTTACCTTTGTAGCCTAACAACTTCCTCTTTTTCACCTTTAAAAGCCTCTTCCTAGAGCTCCTCTTCCACACCAACTTCTTACACAAACCGAAACACAACAAAGATCCTAACTTTAGATAAAGACACCAAAAAGAATGTTAAAAACACCAAAAAGCTAAGCATCTTACCCTTTCCTATGCCCAAGAAGGAGAAAGTATGAATCTTGGAAGAAAATCTTGCAAGGCTTGAAAGTTCAATTTCTTGCTTGGAGAAGAAGCTAGACTATCTTAGCGAGAAGCTAGAGTGTTTAAATTTTAGGTTGAAAAGGTGAATGAAATGAGAAAGTCATGCTAGGTTAGCTTGAATCACAAATCTTAGGAGAAAAGACATATTTACCCTTACTAAAGTTGGAAAGACTACGAAACAAGGGCACAACTCAAGAAGCACAAGGTACAACCTTTTGACTTAAGTGACTAGTCAAAATCTAGTCCCTCGACTATCAAATTTCAGGATTTTTAGAAATGGATTAGTAAGGAAGCTTGGATTAATTCTTCAATTAATCCTCGATCAATATTTAGATTTATGGGGTGTCACAGTTACAGCACTGCATGCATACATCTACACATTAGCTATTAATTTGAGCAATTATTTGCTCGAATTCAAGGAATGATAACATCAACAAACATAAACGATCCAAACCATATCTTCAATTGCACTATATAATATTTTATGTTACAATTTAAACAATTATATATCAAACCAAATATTCTTAATATATTATAACAAATTCATTTCGTGTGTCGCACGTGGGAAAATACTAGTTAATTATAATGTAATAAAATCGCAAAAGTTTTTAAAATGTGCGTATTATGATTATACCGTGTTTTGTATTTAATTTAATATGAAATAGTTGATAAGTAAACTATTAACATAATTATAATTTCATATGATCGGCTCTCGTATGCATATATCATGTTCAAGAGATCTTAACCAAATCTTACTATACCTGGAATAAGAGTCAAACTCGAAAGGTGTAACTCAAAACAAACTGAATTAGCTTCTTAGTGATAGGCAACGAACGCCAAATTTGGATTAGTTGTATAGTACTGGTGGAACGACTTGAACCAAATTTGAATTACTCTCATACGAATGTATATTAAAAAATAAAATAAAAAAATCACATATATATTGTGTTTAGTAGTATGGAGACTCAAATTAAATTCTGATCTTTTTAAAATTTTGATTCCTAGAGAGGTTTAAGCCACTATTTAGGATGTATATTGATTATTTTATACTCCATATATGTTATCAAACATTCAAACCTGCGTGTTTGGTTGGAGGGAATTTAAATTCCCTTCCCACTTAATTCTCATCTAATTTCAAATGCCACTTAATTCCTTAGTTTGGTTGAAAGGAATTGCAATTCTCTCATTTTCATGGAATTCAAATCCCATGTCCCCTGAGATTTTAATTCCATGGACTTTAGGAAGAAAAAAGATAATCATGAGATAAGATTACTCCTCCCTTTTTTTTTTTTTTTTAAATTGATGCCCACAACAATAATAGGCATTTTGGATTTTATACTACTTATTCTCTTTCAATTCCCTTAGCTTGTTTACCATACATTGAAATTGAAATTTCCAATAATTATATTCCCGTAAACCAAACACTAGAATTTAAATTCCCACTTTATTCCCAGTAATTCGTCTTTCATGGAATTGCAATTCTTTTCCCACGTAATTCTCTCCATCCAACCAAACGTCCCATAATGGCATATAGTACACAAATTGGAAAACTGTTATAGAATTTTTCAAACTAATATGTTGAAAAATATTCGCGACGTCAATGCGCGAGCTGAACACCTTTTAAGAAACACAGACACAATGGGTGTGTGGTGAAAGAAAGTCTGTGTCGTGTTATAATAACACTGCCTTAAAAGCGTTATTTGCCCGGTGACGGTACAGTCGACAAACCGGTACGCTTTCGACAGTCTGCACAGAATAACCACGCTAAGCTTGTAGCTGCGCTGAACCTCATTATTATTCAGACTTTAACTAGCAGACACAGAAATAAGAGAGAAAGGAAATGTTTTCCTTGATGTGTTTAAACTCAAAGGTAGGGCCTTGTTTAAATAATAGTGGCCATGTAATTTAGGCCTCATATTATTTAAAGGACCTTAACCACTCATTAATTTGTGGTGGTTAAACCACCACATAATGCAGGATTTGATTGTATGTAACGTAAAGCACATATATAATCCAACTAACTGATTGCTTGCTTATCTAAATTGTTCATGTGATATGATATGAACTTTGACGTTTATCACTTTATTATCTGTTGAACGCGTGTGCAGGAATGGATGAAAATTTAAGGCTGCTAGAATGTGATGGTAAGTTGGATAATAGAAAATGACTTCCTCTTTTATATATATACGTGCATTAATTTTGAACTCGACAACAACAATAATTTTTCTTAATTATACAGTATAAGAAGTGAATTTGAACTTGAAATCCTGATTCATGACAAAAGATTTCTAGTGTCAACTTGAGGGTTAGTGGTGTTTAGTAAAGTCCAAAAGGAGAGATTATGTTCCAACAAACCCTATCAAGCAACCTTTTTAGACCGCCCTTCTGCAACGGCAATGCACCACATCATAGCAGGAATATTAACAATAGGCGTAGCACTCCAACTAATCAGGTTAATTATTAACTTGATAAATAAAAGTTACAAATTTGATTTCAACAGAAACAATATATAGGCCCTCTAAGTTTATGAACCAGTTAACTATAGACAATCTAGGCTAATTTACATTATTGTAATCTTTTGCTAGTTAGGGTCACAATGCAAGATTTTTTCTAATATACACCATCGGATACATAGTAATTAGAGGTTTTCCCACTATTGAAAATTATGAAATTTCCGATCACTTGAAAGTGATCTTAAATCAAGTTGATACCAAAAAGTGGTCGAAAATAGCAACAAAGGTTTTTCCGGATACCAAAAGTGGTCGGAACAAAACTTTCAACTTAATTTAAGATCATTTTCGCGTGGTCAGAAATTCCATAATTTTCAATAGTGTCCTCGTTACTTAAAAAAAAATTAATAATAGACATCTAAATCAAACTAATCTCAAATTAAAAGATCGGTTCAATAAGTTTAAAAAAATATTTAAGTGTCACATCACAACTTATTGCGAAATCAATGTAAAATCCTATCACATTGAGTTATTTGTATACCATGGGCAAATTAGTACCTACTTGGACCATGAATGCAATATATATTTTTAATATACTAAAAGTATATTATTTGTGTATTAAATATATATTATTTAATAATATATACAAACTTATATACTTTCAAATAATGTATTTTATGTATACAAATAATATATTTTTAGTATATTAAAAATATATCTTTTTTTATTTATGGTTTACACAAATGTGTGACCATTGTCTATGAAATAACAATTGTATACCATGCCTATAGGCTATCATAGATTAGAGAAGTCTGTATTGATGTAGAGTCGTCAAAACGAGCGTAGCCAGCCGGGCTAGCCCGTCCAGCCCCGCCTTGGCAGAGTGAGCTTTGGATATTATGGTCCGTATTTTGGTAAATATTTTAGTTCGCCCTTCCAAAATGGCAGGCTTTGGCGAGGCGGGCTTGGCGGGCCACCAAGGACCCGCAAAGCTCGCCTAATATGTATACGTTATTAATATATTAGTGTACACACACACACATATTTATTTTATTATTTATATTTATTTATTTATTTATTTATATTGAAAAAAATGTATTAGTAAGTAGTATAATGTATAAATTATTTGTTATTGCCTTATACATTCATATTTTATGTATTTGATTATTATTATTGTGTTCAACAAATTACAAATGCATTAATATATGTTTAAACTATTCAAATAAGTTATTTTAGTATGCACTTATTAATATTTTCATATTACTTTTTATTTAAATTTATAACTTTTTAAATTTGGTGGGCCCAGTTGGCTTATGACAGGGCGGGGTAGCCGTTCTATTTTTTGCTCATATATATTTTGATGGGCTTTTTAACCCGCCCTCGCCATATGGCGGGCTTTGGTGGGCCCGAGCGCCCCCCCCCCCCCCCACCCCCGCATGCCCATTTCGACAACTCTATGTGGGTAAATGGTGGACTAGACATATTGTCAAATTTGTCAAAAATATAATGGGTCACACTTGTGTGAGACCGTCTCATTGATTTTTATCCGTAAGACGGGTTGGGTCAGGTCGAATCAATACGAGTATGTAATATTTATACTGAAAACTAGTCTTTTCTATGCGCGCGATGCACAAAAACATATGCCCAATATTTATATTTTTATAAATAACTAACACATTTTTACTAATTAAAATCTAAGTGAACTAAAATTTATTTATTATATTAATCCAATATATAATGAATATGTAATGTTTTATAAATATTGTTATAATTAAAGAATATAAGAACAGATGTGGTAGATGCATGTGCATGGTAAAAGTAATGAAAAATATAACAGAAGTGATAACGGTAAGGGTATTTTTGTCCAAAAAATTATATAGTACAATTCTAAAATCACAATGTACAAAATGGTTAGCATTAAAAACATGGACAAAAATGAGAGATATAACTTTGATTGGAACTTATTATGTTTTTAGAATATAAGGGTCATACTTGTGTGAGATAGTCTCACAAATCCTTATCAATGCGACAAGTAGAGTCGAGTCGGGTCAATATGCTAATGTAATACTTATACTAGCAAATTTAATATTAGATCAAGAATAAAATGTTCTTTACTTATAATGGAAAACGTAATACATTTGAGAACATATGTAATACTTTTATATTTTGATGTAAAAGTATTAATTTTTTCATCAAAAGTATTATATTTTCCCTTATAAGTATTGTTGCACTTATAAAGGGAAATGTAATACTTTTACATCAAAATGTAATAGTACTAAATTTTCTCATATAAGTTAGGAAAAATTACACTTTTTTTACCCTGAGTTATATGCTTATAGCGATTTCCCCCCTGAATTATTTATGTATCCATATTTACCCTCTCAATTATATTAAATGTGGCAGTTTTCCCCCCTTTATGTTAGATGGACATTTTTACCCTTAAAATAAAGTATTTCATTTTTTTTATCCAACAATTTATTGCATATATGTATGGAGACCACGATTCGGTTCGAACCTAACCGGACACTATAGCAACCGAATCGAAACAATATCGACGGTTTTAGTTACGATTCAAAACCGAAAAAAAGTAAAATAAAATAAAATAATTGTTGAATTTAGATTATTTTAAAAATAAGAAATAGAATTTACAAAAATAAATAAATAAATTTTAAACTGGTTCATCATACAAAAAAAAAAAACCCAGTTCTACCGTGTACGAACTGGTTCATCATAGAAAACAAAAAGATTATTTTATTTTATTTTATTTTATTTTATTTTAGTTCTAAATCGTAACTAGAACCGTCTCTACTGTTTCGATTCAGTTGCTACAGTGTCTGGTTAATTACGAACAAAACCGTGGTCATCCGTACATTTAAGCAATAATTTATTTGAGAAGAAAAATAAATGAAATACTTAGTTTAAGGGTAAAAATGTTCATCTAACTTAAAAGGAAGAAAAACTGTCACTTTTAATATAACTGAGGGGACAAATGTGGATACATGAATAACTCAGGGGGAAAAGTGTTATAAACATATAACTCAAGGGGAAAAATGTCATTTTATTCTTTTTTTTAGATGTTACTGATTCTATTACACTGTGATATCTCTTCAAACATACTTACTTTCTTAATCTATTAAAGCACAAAAAGTTAACAACGTCTCCACTGAGGCTTGATCTCATGACCTCCCATATGGGAGAGATGACTACATGCCATCTGAGCAAAAATTGCTTGGCAAATATTTTATTCCTTAGGTAGTATTACATTTGCTAGTATAAGTATTGCATTTCAGCTAATCTTGACACAACCCGTTTCACGGATTTTCACATATATTTTTGCCAAAATGTAATACTAATTAATTAGGAATATATAAAGTGTTTGTTAGCTAGAGATAATATTTTCCTGCAATTAATGATTTTTGCTACAAGTTAATAATCTAAAACGACATTGTCAAATTTGTCGACATTGATTTTTGCTTAATTTGCTTCCATATTCAGCACCATTCAAACAAAACTAGTAAACTACTACGAATATTATATTAATTCGCAGATCGAACTTTAGTCAAGATTTCAAGGGATTTCATTTGGACTTGGTTTAATTTATTGTTTCAGTCAACATTTCTAAGTCTAATAAACATTTTGTCATAAAAAAAAAAATAAAAATTGACACTATATATGTTATGTAAGTATAAGAAGATAAAGTCGCACTATCATTACTAAGTATATTTTTTGGAGTAATAATAAACGATTGGCTTTGACAATTATTGGATGACAGATATACTATAACGAGGGAAAGAAATAAAGTTATGTCTTTATTATTAGTTACAACTTTTGGTAATTATTTGATCTTGGCTAGCCAAATTAATATTAGCCTTATAATATGGTGGGTAAACTCATGTCAAATTCATATTAGTATTGAATCAAATCTGGACTAGTCACACAATGTTAAAAAATCAAATGCTATTATATGTCTAAAAAGTTCCCATGCATATTATTTTTTATTTGAGATCTTGTGATCAAATGACACTATGTTCAAGATGTCAAAAGTTTGGCAATGAATCCCTTCAATTGTATAAAAATAATTAAAAAGAAAAAACTCAAAAAATTTTACGGAGTAAAATTATGATTCTAAATTGAAAAATGTATTTTGTAACCTTAATTCCAACTAACAATTTAAACAACCAATGATATTATTTTCTATATTTTATTCTCAACCAACAACCGTAATGTTTGACATGATTTATTTACTTGATTTAATTTTTTACTTTGCACATATATAATCCAACTAATTGATTGCTTACTTATCTAAGGTGTTTCACGTGATATGATATGAACATTTGATTTATCACTTCATCCGTTCAACACGTGAGCCAGAATGGAGGAAAGTTAGGTTGCTAGAAGATGATGGTAAGTCGGTTCCGGTGCGGGTGGACGCCTCTGGTGCGATTGTGCAGTTAAATTTGAGCCATTGATCTTGCTTAAATCAACGTTTAAGATTACCAAAATTAATTAAAAAAAAGAAAAAAAAACGTGATGACAATTTGATAATATTTGCATCTAGGTAAATTTGAGGAATTGAGGTGAGTGGGTTTTGTGCTTAATGTGCGTGAGTTTTGTGCTGAAAGTGCATGTGGGTTGTGGTTAAGGTACGTGGAGTTTGTGGTTAAGGTGTGTAGGTTGTGTCATTAATGTGAGTAGTTATTGAAACTTAAGGTGCGTGAGGTTTGTGCTTAAGGTGCATAGAGTTTGTGCTTGAGGTGCGTGGGGCTTGTGCTTAAAGGTGTGTGGGTTGTGTCCTAAATGTAAGTAATTGAAACTTAAGGTGCGTGAGGTTTGTGCTTATGATGAGTAGCGTTTGTGCTTAAGGTGCGTGGGGTTATGTGCTTAATGTGAGTAGTTGTTGAAACTTAAGGTGTGTGAGTTTTTGTGTTTAATATGCGTGAGTTTTGCGCTTAAGGTGTATGGGTTGTGTACTTAAGGTGCGTGATTTGTATGCTTAAGGTGCATTAGTTTATAAACTGAAGATGTGCGAAGTTTATACATAATGTGTGACATTTTAATGCTTAAGGTGCGTCCAACCGCACAACCGCACGGGAAGCCATTCCCGCACTTGAACTCTTCCACATATCTCTCTCTCTCTATATATATATATAGGATAAAATCAGGCAGAGAATTGGTTCCTGGAGTAAAAAGTTGCTTTCTCAGGCTAGTAAGGAAGTACTTTTGAAAAATGTGGCACAATCTATGCCAACTTTTTCAATGAGTGTTTTTTTGTTACCTGAGACAGTTTGCACATCAATAGAGAGGACCATGAACAGGTATTGGTGGGGATCTGGAACGGAGAGGAAAATACATTGGAGGGCTTGGGATAAATTATGCATCCCTAAGAAGTATGGGGGTCTGGGATTTAAAGACCTACGAGCTTTTAATTTGGCAATGCTGGGAAAACAGGCATGACGTTTTCTCACAAACCCCAGCACTTTGGTGGCAAGAATATATAAAGCCAGGTATTACCCGAATACATCTTTTGTTGATGCTACCATAGGAAATTGCCCAAGTTTTTGCTGGAGAAGTATAATGGCTGCGCACGGAATGGTTTGTTCAGGGGTAAGGAGGCGTGTAGGGAATGGACAAAAAACATTAATATGGGGGCATCCCTGGCTACCAGATAATCCCAGTCCGTTGGTCCAAACAATAATGCCCCAGGAGTTGCGACATGCCCATGTAGCAGGATTGATTGACCAACAAACTAATACCTGGGATCCACATATTCTGACTGATTTATTTATTCCTGAGGATGTCACACGTATTTTAATGATCCCTGTTAGCCCCGAATATGAAGACACTTGGTACTGGAAGGGGGAGATGAATGGAATATATTCAGTTAAAAATGCTTATAGGCAAATTAAGGGGGATTATGTGCATAACCCAGGTGATTTTGATATATGGGTTACTATGTGGAAATTGAAAGTGCCACCCAAATGGAAGACCTTTTTGTGGAGAGCAGTCTGTGGTATCCTCCCTACTACGGACAATCTAATAATGCGACGAGTTGAGATTGATCTGCTGTGCCCAATGTGCCAAGGGGCGCATGAGAACATCATGCATGCGTTACTCGAGTGTGACTATTCAAAATTAGTGTGGGGTATGTCGGGGTTGCCGGTTACCAATATACATACTAATTCATTGCCGACATGGCTTATGGGAATTTTTAATGTCTTGACAGAGGAACAGTGTGGCCTAGCAGTGCGATATTATATGCTATTTGGAGTACCCGCAACAAGGCGGTATGGGACCACGCCCTCCCAAGACCGACGGACACATGGAATCGAGCGGTGGCGGCCATGCAGGCATACCGAAGTGCGCAGCCCGGCCTGCCGGCACGGACACTTACTGTCGTGATCAGTCAAGCCACTGGCGGTGTACCTCGCTGCTACGTAGACGCGGGTTTCAGGCCGGATACGGGAGAAGCATATATATATACATATATATATACACATATATATATATATACACACACACATATATATATATATATATATATATATATATATATATTGAAAATTTTCCATGCGGTATATTAATGAATAAACTGAATGATAGAGTCAGGAGGGACAGAGTCCCAATACATAGCTTGGTCCTGATCGAAAGCTAAAGAAGCTAAAGTATGAGCATGTAAATTTAAACTTCTCGAAATATAACTCAGCGAGCATCTCGTAAATAACGATATAGCAGTCCTACACTGGTCTACAATGATCCCCAGGTAGGAGTAGTTAGCCGTGTGGCTTGTACGCATCATATTTTGTAATTCCATGCAGTCCGTCAACATGTCCACCTCCATGATGTCCCGATTCTTAGGCCAAGAGAGCGCCTCCTTACAGGCCAGTGCTTCGGCCATAGTAGCCGAGAAAGCACCCGCGAGCCGTCCATTCATTGCCGCAACAAACGATCCATGTTGTGAGACGAGAACTACATATATATATATATATATATATATATATATATATATATATATATATATATATATATATATATATATACATATATATATATATATACATATATATATATATATATACATATATATATATAGAATTAGGTTCTGGTGCGTTAGAGTGCTCAGGTGCGGTTGTGCGGTTTAATTTGGGCCATTCATCTTGCTTAAATCAACGTCCAGAATTACCAAAATTAAAAAAAAAATGCGGTGATAATAATTTTGTAATTTTTGAATCTAGGTCAAAATTAATGTGAGCGGTTCTGTGATTAATGTGCGTGAGCTTTGTATATAAGATGCGTGAGTCTTGTGCATAAGGTGTGCGTGAGTTTTGTGCTTAATGTGCGTGGGATTGTGCTTAATGTGAGTAGTTGGTAAAACTTAAAGTGTTGGCTTTTGTGTTTAAGGTGCGTGAGATTTGTTCTTAATGTGAGTGGAGTTTGTGCTTAATTTGCGTAGAGTTTGTGCTTAATGTGTGTGAGGTTAGTGATTAATGTCAGTAATTGTTGAAACTTAAAGTCTGTGAGTTAATACTTAAAGTGCGTGAGTTTTGTGCTTAATGTGCGTGAGATTGTGCTTAATGTGCGTGAGATTTGTACTTAATGTGCGTGAGTTTGTGCTTAATGTCAGTAGTTGTTGAAACTTAAGGTCTGTGAGTTAATACTTAAATGCGTGGGTTTTGTGTTTAATGTGCGTGAGATTGTGCTTAATGTGCGTGGGTTTTGTACTTAATGTGCGTGAGTTTGTGCTTAAGATCTAACACTTGGTGCGTGCGTGGCTTTCTTCCAGGCACGCGTTTTTTTTTTTTTTTTTAAATTTTCATTGATTTGATTCGTTGATCTAGATTTGATTAACGACTCAAATCTAACCGCACAACCGCACGGGAAGCTATATCCGCACATGAACCCTTCCCTATATATATATATATATATATATATATATATATATATATATATATATATATATATATATATATATATATATATATATATAGGGCTGCGTTCAGGTGCGAACTTCCTGTCCAGGAGAGAAATGAGAACCATTTAGCGTTGTCCACGTGTCCAAATCTAATGGATGAGAAACACTGATTTTTTTTTTTAAAAAAAATGCAGTGCCATTTTCGTAAATAATTGAATATCAAAGTGCAAGTAAAATGTATTACAAGTGCACGTAGTACTTTTATATAGTGCACCTCAGTGCATGTAAAATTTATTACAAGTGCAGGTAAAATGTATTACAGGTGCAAATAAAATTTACACTGAGCATCAAAACTAAGTGTACCTAACGTTATAACTAGGTGTACCAATAGTTATAAGTAGTTGCACCTAACGTTTGGTTGGATGTAATTTGGTTGTAATTGAATTGTAATTCAATGAAGACATGAATTACAATGTTTGGTTAGAGAGAATTGTAATTCCATGAAATTGCAATTCCCTCTTTTTGTTGAATTGCAATTCATGGGGTACCCAATGTGTAGCACCCCCTAAAAACATGCTATTTAAAGCCTTAAAACATGCAGATATCTAAACCAAAACATCAAACACAACGGAAGACTGAAAGAGGAAATATATATAAAACAAGGAAACGGGGTGCTATGCCACGCTCACCCAAGGGTGAACGCACAGGCTAAATCTGCATTGTTTAAAATCTACAACCATCCAACAGAGTACTACGTCTAGATTGGCTCACAGGCCACAAAACATAAAAGTGAAGCTATACTAGCTGGCACTAGACCGCGCACTCGTCTAAGCATCACCTGAAAGAAGCATATAAAACATGGGACGACGCCCGGTCAGCGAATAATGCTGGTAACCCACCAATACTTGTGAAATATCATACATAGATAAGATATAAGTTTGTAAAGCCATTTTTGATACGGAATACATATATATAAGTCAAAAACCAAGAGTAATAGTCAGCACAAGACTCAACACTCTCAACAAGAACACGGGAACACATCCCAAGACTACAAAGAACAACAACGACTCACAAGAAGTCTCAAGGTATAATCTATCGTCACACAATAGATTAATACCCGACATGCATAACTCAAGGAATAAAGACACAACAAACGGCAACACATGCCAAGGCAACACATGCCTTTGTGACTACACACGTCACAAGAAGAGAACTCACAACAACGACTACACATGCCTTCGTGACATCACCCATCACGAGTTGATATGCCTTCCTTATGCCCGGTTCCAACCTTATGGCTACCCCCAACCTTATATCTTCTTCCAACCATTACCTCCAGGACCCCTGTACTTCTTATTCGAACCTTTTCCCTCCTAGGACCGTCGTCCCCCACCAACAAACCACCAATTTCATAGTACACGAGGGTACCGATCACACACACGGCAACACATGCCACCCAAGAAATACGTGAACCCATCACTCAGGCCACAAACTCCATAATCACGTCATGGCCACCACGAGGACCACTGCAATACCTTGGTGACTAGTGTCCCATACCACTAATCGTGCAATCCAGGTAAAGCCACACACACGTCACACCACAACAGGAATCAATCAACGGATCACAATGAAGATATGAAACCATACTCAATCAAGGAATGGATCACAGTCCAACAACAACAACAATGGATAACACAAGTTATCATCAACCATTAAGAAGGTACAAACAACACACATGCTAGCATTTAAA